ATTGGGTAAGTTAAAGATTTAGGTTCTTCGGAAATTGCATCTTGACTATAAAAAACGTGACAAATCACCTGAAATTGTAAGGATGAGGCAGTGTTCATAATTGTGGAGTCATCATATATTTCTTTTCTTGTAATAAAAATGTAGAGCTCTGTAATGATTTTGGTTTGCTGAACGTACTACACTATATTTATTCCAAGTTTTGTATTAGACCGTTTCAAATTTGTTGTTGCAACTGTTCTTCACGGACCAGTGAAGAAGTTAATTACTGAATATGGGTCTTCCTTGGAATCTCTAATAACTTTCAGCAATCGAACAAGAGTTTTCCTCATCGCATGATATTACATTTCTGGCTATACTGACAATATAAAAAAAAGGGGGAAATTGCAGCAGCGGTCCCAAACCTTTGAATTTTTAGCATACTTTACCTTAACTTTCAGTTTGTGCCACTAATGATCCCAATGAAAAACTAACAAAAGGGGTCCAAATGGATGAATTCAGTTTGTGCCACTAATGATCCCAATGAAAAACTAACAAAAGGGGTCCAAATGGATGAATTGACCGTTAGTTTACTAAGAAATTGTCTTTTGACCAAATCTAAGCAAAATGATAAATTCGTCATTATTCCACGGAAAATAATTAAAAACAAACAAAAAAAAAAAAGATAGGAAATTGGAAATGTTCATCTTCTTTAACCTACGCCATCCCATCCCAACCCAACACAATCCAATCCTCAGGATGTGGCGGTAGCTGGAGAGCACCATTGCGTCCTCCATTAAGCCTAAATGGCAACGAGCTTGTCTCGAAACCAAGTATTGAAAGGAAACTTTTTGACGAAAGGGAATTAGTTCAAATTCGTTCCATGCCTCAACCTGTCAAATCGTTTAATATTCGAGAAGAAAAAAGAGCATTAATAGAAGTTTTGGTTTTGAGAAATTGTAATCAATTCAAATTTCAAATAGATTTTGACTTTTCAATACATAATTTTGGGCTAATAGGAATAGAGCGCGGCATCAAGGGTAGCCATTGCAACTGTCTTGCAGCAGATGAGAAGCTTAATGTGGCTTAACAGTTGAGAAACTCTCACTCTCTAATTTGGGGAGTGCTTGTGGATGATTTTTATTATCAGAAAACGGTAATCTATTAAACGAGAAATTGTCATCTGACCAGCAAACGCTTTCATAACAAAATGCACATGGAACCGATGACGACGAATGGTGGTGGCTACGGAAGAAGGCAGCGACGGTGTTGAGTTGATTTGGTTTTGATTTAGTGGGTTGGATTAGGTTGAGGGGGATAAGGATTGAGTTGATTTGGTTTCGATTTAGTGGGTTGGATTAGGTTGGGGGGATAAGGATTGGTTTAGGGGTGGGATGAGGTGTGTTAAGGAAGATGAACGCTTCTATTTTCCTTTTAATTTTTTTAAAAATTATTTTATGTGGAATAATAATGAATTTGCCAATTTTCCTTCTTTAGATTTGGTCAAAAGACATTTTTTTGGTCAACTAACAGTCAAATTCATCCATTTGGACCCCGGTGCTAATTTTTCAAAGATTTGGGTTCACTAGTGATCGAAATTGAAGGTTAAGGTAAAGTCTGCTAAAAATTCAAAAGTTTGGGACTGCTGCTGCAATTTTCTCTAAAAAAAAAATGTTGTCACCGCTCTTTGAAACTTAAAATTATCCAACATGATATGAAAATTGTGCAATATTTATGTTTCCAGTTTACAAGTCAAAGTCCACCACCCCAAGTCAATACCAATAGGACCACTAGCTGACCGACTGAATAACTAACCAATCACCCAATACTGGCCTAGATTCAAGGCGTCAAATCTGAAAATGGTCTGGTAGATTGGGATAGAGTCAACTTCGAGGATGTAGCCACGATCCTGATAATAATCATATAAAAAGACTCTTGGCTCGCATTATATTAATTCTAACAAATCCTATATTTACAAATTCGAAATTTTTGTAGGAACGATCAAATGTGGATGTTGTTCCCTCTAGAAGATATAGGAACGAAATAATCAATTTATTGATATTGGAAGCCTCAATTGATTCTTCCAATATTTCATATTCGGCATGGACGTTGGAGCATTTAGAGGAACTTTCCTCACACAAGAGGATCGAAAAGGAAACACTTGTGATATATCAGTTATCTTGCACAGATAAATGCTGAATAGTCAAGTACTGAACGAATAACTAGAATAAAGCTTTTATCGATATGATTACGAATTGTTAGTTCACGATAAAACATATACAAATTATGGTTTATGTTTAAATTATTGTTCAAAATCAATAAAAATGGATTTGGATTGAAAAATGGATTTGGAAGCCAAAAGTAAGCACTATGCGTCCGCATAGTCCAAGAGGGATGTGGTCGCATGTATACATGCAAGGTTCAAGTCCTGCAGTTGAGTCTTCTATGCGACCGCATTGAATTAATCTATGTGGTCGCATAGGTTTAAAAAATAGCTATTGGGCCGGCTTCCTTATTTGAATTTTTGATGGCTTTTGGTGAAAAATTTGCAACTGTTCATGGATTTTTGACACCATTTCGTGGGTGTTGATTGAGATCTATGTATAGATATCTCATGATCAACACAAATTACATTATAAAAACCATTATTGAAATCATTTGAAATTACATTCCATTCCAAAATAGAAAAAGATAAAATTCTTTTCATTCATATTCAAATTCCTTCTTGGATTCTTGAAGTTTTGGTAAAAAATACTAAGTATTTAAATGTTTTTCTATTACAAGACTTGATAAATTTTACAAGCCATTTGCAAAAAAACCCTTGAAGCACCAAATTTCAATCTGTGAGGGGGCAAATATCGATAACGATATAATTTTCATGTTTATGCCTTTTGATTCTTCTATGATGATCATGATTATTCGTTTCTAGTTTCTTTTCCAACCCCTTCGAGTGGAAGAGCAATATATTTGTTTACCTTAACTAAAAGTCATCTTGTCTCATGATTATTTGTCTCTGGTTTACAAATTAAAAAGAAAAAGGCTAAATGTACAGCCTTTTTATACAGTAAATTTGACAGCTCTCACATCGGTGTCGCGGGCCCCACCCCCATGTGAGAAGGCTATCAAAATGTATGTGTAAAAAGACTGTGGAGGTAGTGATGGCAATCGAGCCGAGCGGCTCGTACTGTAGCGATCCACGAGCCGTTGACGAGCCCGAGCTCGAGCCGAGCGGACCCGTTCATAGACGAGCCGAGCTCGGCTCGGCTCGTTAAGAGGCGAGCGCTCNGAGCCGAGCTCGCCCACGAGCAAACGAGCCGAGCAGAAGCTCGGCTCGTAGGGCAACGAGCCGAGCTCGTGGGGCAATGGGCCAAGCCGGCTCGGCTCGGCCCATTGCCATCACTACTGTGGGGGTGTTTGTTTTTTATTTGAGAATTGATTCTCATTTTCAACTACGCATTCTTCAATAAAATAATATTTTCCATCACATCAATAATTTTTTCTTTTTTTTCAACCACACATTTCCTATCATATCACTATTCAAAAATCATTTTTTCTCCCAAAAATTCCTACCAAACAAGCTCGGTAAGTGTAGCATTTTTCAATTAAAAATGTGCTGGTACCTTGAACCTTGCATTAACGTACAATGGGATGGGTATAATTCATTTAACAAGGTTGTCTTAATTGGTCTCGTGATGTGGCCTCTTGCAGTTGCCAGATTTGTCTGGAATTTGTATAGATTTTTAAAAATAAAATAAAACAGGCATATTCAGAGATTCTCTGTTTCTTGTCTAAATAGAAAATTTTCATTCTTTACCCATTCTTTGGATTCCTAATTTCATCTGCATTTCCAACCCAAGGCCAAAGATTGATGATTAATATTAGGTAAAAACTGTGCATCTATGAAAATTTTCACCATTGTTTCCACAAAAAAATAAAAAAAAAACATTTTAGGGAGAATTATGGACGACTCCCAAATCTTCACCTGATGGTGATTATGAGTGCTCAACCTTCAAATATGAAATTTAAAACCGTTTATACGGCTTTCATGTAACTTAAAATAGATGACAAAATCATTAAATCACCAAGGATGCTTTTCGTTGCGAATATGGAATTTACGTGGAAAGAAAATAAATTCTAAGTAATTCAATTGTTTAATTATATGAAAATTGTTAATTAAATGCGTTTAATTGCTTTAGCTTTCAATTTAAAAAATATTATACTTGTTCATTTTTTTTTTTTGATAATCGTGGATGTCCGGGCCAGCTTGCACACACCTCGACTAATTCCACGGGGCCCTGAAGTTTACGGTCGGGTACTCACCTCAATAGCCCTGAGGGGACTCGAACTGATGACCATTGGGGAGCAAACCTTCATTTTTTATTAATTGGTAGATGAGAAAGACGAGAGAGAGAGAGAGAGAGAGAGAGAGAGAGAGTTAATTGTCTGGAAAATAATAATCAACCCTCCTTAAGGAAAATGTTATCCTTATTTTTGAAGAAAATATGGTCATATGACCAAAATTTGGAAAACATTTTTCATAAAAAAATTTATCATTTAAACATCAAAAAAGTAGAAATTTAGGTGATATTTTTCATGAAAAATAAAGTCAATCAAACACACTACTAATATTTCTCTTCAATCCAATGAAAAGTCGCATGCAATTTTAACTTGATTCCAACACAAAAAGATCTAGATTCACAATTTTATTAAGTTGAAGACCTATAATCGCACTACCTGGAAGGTTGAAGGTCCAGCCCTAAAATTTCCATTTCCTGAACTTTCCTCCATATTTCTGTAGTACAAATTTCCAAGTAAGAACGACTGAACCTGAATATTTTCAGTTTGCGAAAATGAAGCAACCAAGAAAAGGAGAAATTGAGTGAGTCTAGAGAGAATATTTCAAGGAGGAAAGATCAGAGAAAGCAAAGTCAAGTCAAGACTCGGCCTTTATTACCCGTTCTACCCTTTCATCTCTTCCCCAATTCAATTCAAGATTCATCAGAAAGCACCCATAAACGATAATCATGTCTTCATCTACTCCATCATCTTCACATAACAATAATAGCACTGAGACACCAAAGCCCACAATAGAGATCAAGAAACCAACTTTCATAGCACAACATATGCAGAAGCCCACATGGGTCCTCCCATACAGGACCCAAACCCTTCAAAGTCTATACACCATAGGCAAGAAGCTAGGCCAAGGCCAGTTTGGGACAACCTTTCTGTGCACTGAGAAATCAAGCAACGGTCTTTATGCCTGCAAATCTATACCCAAGAAGAAGCTGATTTGTAAAGAGGACTATGAGGACGTGTGGAGGGAGATTCAGATAATGCACCACTTGTCAGAGCACCCAAATGTTGTGAGAATAAAGGGAACGTACGAGGATGTCCTATTTGTGCACATAGTAATGGAATTGTGTGCAGGTGGGGAGCTCTTTGATAGGATTGTGCAGAAAGGGCATTATAGTGAAAAGGAGGCTGCCAAATTGATCAAGACTATTGTTGGGGTGGTCGAGGCTTGTCATTCTTTAGGGGTTATGCATAGGGACCTTAAGCCTGAGAATTTCTTGTTTACTAGAGCTGATGAGGATGCTGCTCTCAAGGCAACTGATTTTGGCCTCTCTGTCTTCTACAAGCCAGGTATACATGGGAATCATTTTAGTAACGTATAATTCTTCATTAATTTTTGTAAGTTTTGATTTTATTTTATTTTATTGTGTTTGAATTGCTGGGTAATCCGAGTCTTGTGCAATCCATATTTAGTTTTGGATGTGAGATATTATCTTGTCTGTGATTGATTGGTCATTTGATGTTCATGGGTACAAGACATGATCCTTCTCTTACTAGGAACTCTGGTTTTAACTTGGGATTTGCCCCTATTTCTAGGCATTTGTCTATTCGATCTTGTTATTAAAGTGATCATTGACAAAGAATGACCACCGATGGTATCCCATGAAAATCAGTATGTGTCACTGATTGTATATAATTATTGATAGTAACACCATCTGTGATCACCATCAAAATCATCCATGGTACTTGATGAAAATCAATATCGGTCGGTGATAGGTCTGGAATTATAAACAGCAATGCCATGGGTGATTATTGACGCACATCCATTGGTGATTACCAACGGTAACGTCTACAACAATCACCGGCTTCAGTCAATGATCATCAACGAAGAAGCATTTTTTTCTTCACTAACAATATTAGTATATTATTTAATTATACATGTTGGGGACGTGTCTTAGTACTTTTTTGAAAAATTGTGTGTTGGCTTGTCCATGTCAGTGTCCTACATTTCAGTCTTTCTAAGATGAAATTACTACATTCAAATTCCTTTTTTTTTCTTTCTTTTTTTTCAGATGAAACTTTCAGCGATGTAGTGGGAAGCCCTTATTATGTTGCACCCGAGGTTTTGCGCAAGCATTATGGACATGAAGCAGATGTATGGAGTGCTGGGGTCATTTTATACATTTTGCTCAGCGGTGTTCCACCTTTCTGGGCAGGTGTGTTCCTGCTTGCTTCATTCATTTATTTTGGATTAGAAAGTCTTTTAAGATTTCAGTTTCTATAATCCTACCAGTAACTAACACCTCTTACGTTTTCATACTGCTTCCAACTCCAGAAACTGAGAAGGGGATTTTTCGCGAGATATTGAAGGGAAAATTGGATTTTGAATCCGAACCATGGCCCGGCATTTCAGGTAGTGCTAAGGATTTGATACAGAAGATGCTGGATAGGAATCCAAAGACAAGGTTAACAGCACATGAAGTTCTGTGTAAGAAACTTTCCTGAGGAGATGATTAACTCTGTCCTGGAACCATGGAAACAATTCTTGTTCTGCAGGTTTATCACAATGACATGACTGTTTTCCTTTTCCTTTTCAGGCCATCCGTGGATTGTTGACGACAGAATGGCTCCTGATAAGCCACTTGATTCTGCAGTTCTTTCACGCCTCAAACAGTTCTCTGCGATGAACAAACTCAAGAAGATGGCTTTACGTGTAAGGTTTTTTTTTTTTTACTTTATATAATATATATTAATTATCAAACCCATTCGTTTCTAAGTAAAAAACGATGGATAATTTATTATGCGTGAAACCATAGGTATTTCATTTGTTCATTAATAATAAGCACCAAGCTTATCACAAATAACGAGAACAGAGATTTGTTGCTAAGAATAATTTTGAGGAATCTATTCCACTCCTGAAAGACTAACAGAAAATAGAGGCAAAAATCTTTTTAATTTGCTTGTTCCTATAAACTTGTTTAGACATACTAGAGAACAAAGATATTGTTGCAGTAAAGTGATGCTGATGTGAATCTGGCAGAGACACTTCAATCTTATGAACTACAAAAATTCTGACGTTGTATGGCTTTCTCTAGTTTTTATCAATGTGGATTTAACTTCAGATCTTTTTTATAATCACATAAACAAACTATAATTGCAACACTTGCTATTTTGCTTGATGCCACTGAATATAAATGTTAGAGAGATGAATAGTCAAAATTTAGGGCTTGGGATATGGTCAAAAAGATCTCAACTTTTGATGTAAGTATACGTGTGTGTTCTGTATGAAATTAGTATACCAATATTTGAATGCTGTAATTATGTCCTATGTCAATTTTGAAAACAGGAAAAGTAATAAAACTGAGGAAGAAGGCACATCTTGTTAATATAGTAATTGTGGCTTAGGACTTGACTTGTATAATTTCTTAGAGAGTCATATCGACCTTTAGTCATATTTCCCCGTCCAAGATTTTCCTACTCCCCGAGGAAATCGAATATTTTTGAGTTATATGCTTTGATTGGTAATAAGACTCTAGTTTTTAAGAGTTCAAGTCAACGTGAGTACATGTTCTGTTTTTTATTTAACTGGAAAAAAATTAATTTTCTTTTGTCCGAATTTTACTCGTAGCAACTCTGACGTTTGAAACAAGATGTCGTCTAATTAGGCCATGGAAACAAAATAATTTTTTTTTTCTTTTCATTAAACAAAAGTTGAGTTCTCATCTTTAGAACTATAACCGATACTGATGGTTTAAAAGTTAGCTACTCAATAATACATTAATACGTTTGAGTGCATCCAGTTTATCTTTCTTTCTTTCTTATTATTATTATTATTTTTTTTTTCCTTGCTACCAATTGATGTTAACACTCATTATTTGTCTATTGCTTTCATAGTCACATAAATGATAGAGCTGAACTATTCTACCTCAATTTCATGTCTGATTTCCGCATATACAAATGCATTTATAAAGGCAGCCATCAAACGAAGCTGTGTTAATGACATCTTTTGCACTTCTGCAGGTCATTGCAGAGAGATTATCTGAAGAAGAAATTGGTGGTCTCAAGGAGTTGTTCAAAATGATAGATACAGATGATAGTGGAACTATAACTTTCGATGAACTTAAAGAGGGTTTAAGCCGAGTAGGCTCTGAGCTGATGGAGTCTGAGATTAAAGATCTCATGAATGCTGTGAGAACTCTCTGCTGCATTGTTTTCATTTTCGTGACTGTCATCTTCTATTTCAAATTAGTAAAATGTATCTGTCTTGGTATTGGCAGGCGGACATTGACAACAGTGGAACAATAGATTATGGGGAGTTTCTAGCAGCTACAGTTCACTTGAACAAGTTAGAGAGAGAGGAGAATCTAGTTTCAGCCTTCTCTTTCTTCGACAAGGATGGTAGTGGTTACATAACTATTGACGAGCTGCAACAAGCCTGCAAAGAATTTGGTTTGAGTGAGCTTAACCTTGATGAGATGATCAGAGAGATTGATCAAGATAATGTAAGTTGTGCACTCCCTGTATTTCTTCACAGAATTGGATATCTCTATATATAAGACTTAGGAGCATTGTTGGATTCAGAGTTAAAATGCTGAAACAACTTACTCAAAATCATATCTAAAAACTTTGAGACGATTTTATTTAGGTCAGAGAAAAAAAAGGGTGGGAATTGAATCTCCTACTTCCTCACCAGATGATGCGTTAATGAAGTCAGTGTAAAAATTATTGAATCCAGTCAACAGCAAACTTTTTCTGTCAGTTCTTCATTATGAAAGTCAAAGTTACAAGCTCAGATATGATTGGGGGCGTATGATATCAATTTAGGAGCAAAATTTTTGATGCGGTCTTCTATATTAAAAATGAAAAACAAATTGGTGTCTGAGTGGGCTTTCCTATGTCTTTATCAACTCCAAGTTGCCTTTCATTAACCCATCTTGCTGCTTTTATGTATAAATAGATCTGTCACATCAATATTTTCCCCCTGCAAAAAAATTTGTGTATTCTTGCTTGTGCTTTTACTTTAAAAAAGCTCGGTGATTGCAGGATGGACAAATAGATTATGGTGAATTTGCAGCAATGATGAGAAAAGGCAATGGAGGCATTGGAAGGAGAACCATGAGAAACACTGTAAACTTGGGAGATGCCCTTGGACTAGGAGTTTTAGAAAGTAAAGAACGCAGCTGAGAACATTGCTCTGATTTCTACTTTTCTGTTTTTCTTTTTAATTTTTATTTGCTATGTGAAGACTCGATCAATATTCTAATCCAGAAGGCTTATGTTATCCATTTGAACAGTTGCCTTCCCTTTAAACATGTTGCCATTTTGATGTGAGGCAAAATATAATCCAGTAGCTACTCATATTTACTAGTCCTCACAAGTTTGTTACTTTTGTGCTTGTGAATATGTTACTTTCTGGATTTGTGAATATAAATATTGATTATCCTGGTATTTCTAGTAATTTTAGTGGTGTTTAATCCTAGAGTTATCCTAACATCGACGTGTTGTATTCATTGACTGTTAGTTGCCTTATTGGTCAATTCGTAACAAATTACAACGAGATGGTTATATTTCGGTATTGAAGTGATCAAATGATGACTTGAACATAATATTTAGAATAGAAATGGATTGCAATGATGCCTGATCCAGCCGATTGCAAATGAAACAACTAGCATTATTTTTAGTTCTTTTGTCGGGGCAAGAATAGAACATTTCTACACATGATCATCATCACTTTATATCATCAATGAGCAGCATCTCCATTTTCTTTCACACTACTAGCATTAGCCCTCGGATGTTTGACATCTTCCCTGATAGCTTTCTCTACTCCAGTAATTTCAACACCTTCTTTGCCATTTGCTTCTTTCTCAGCCTTTACCTTCTCTTCTTCCTCGGCTTTCACTTTTGCTTCTTCCTCTGTTCTCGCTTTTGCTTCTTCCTTGGCCTTCGTTTCTGCTTCTTCCTTGGCCTTGGCTTTTGCTTCTTCCAGAGCATCGATCAATCTCACCAAACAAGCTTCCTCATCCTCTTCAGTTGATTTGGGCATCAAGTTTTCTGCAACATCTGCAGGAGTCATTTTGGTTTCATATAAGAGGTTATCAATCCTGGCAAACAGTTCATGAGATTCAAGGTCCAAATGGTTCTTTGCTAAAATTTTGAATGCCTCAAAGCTACAGTATGATAATTCTATATGCTTATCCATTCTTCCTCTCCGAATCAAAGCAGGATCTAGCTTTTTCACATAATTAGTTGTAAAAACAATTATTCTTTCTCCACCACAAGCCGACCAAAGCCCATCAATGAAGTTCAGAAGTCCGGATAATGTAACCTGAATATCCTTGTTATTTTCCTCCCTTTTTTTCATCTCTGCCTTCTCTTCTTTCTCTCCTCCTTTTTCTTCCTTTGGCCTGTAAGATCAAGAGAACAATCGATGTCTTCTATTACAATAATAGATTTACTCGACGTGTCTATCAGCAATTGTCTCAGCTCCGTGTTGTCTTTAACTGCTGTCAATTCAAGATCATAAACATCATATTTCAAAAGATTAGCCATGGCAGCGATCATTGTGGACTTCCCAGTTCCAGGTGGACCGTAGAGGAGATACCCCCGCTTCCATGCCTTGCCAATCTTGGCGTAATAATCTTTCGCCTCAGTAAACCTGATCAGATCTTTGGTAATTTCTTCCTTCTTGTTTGGCTCCAAAGCTAAATTGTCAAAAGTTGCTGATGTTCAAATGCCACATGGCTCCAGTTTCTTCTCGTGTATCTGTTCCAATTGTCACTCTTACTATTTGTATACAATTTCCTCTGCCTTTCCTTTACAGTAATAGCCTTTCCCTCTTCTAAAACATGTTTCAGGTAAGAATTGGTAATGATATCCCTGTGCTTCTTGTGGAAAGTGAGTATGAAATACCTGTATGCATCGTCCCACGGATAGAATGAAATAGATTGCCTGTTGGGAGTGACACGGCTGGAAGTCCACCAAAGTTTGATGCCCTGGAATTCATCGGTGACCTCTTCATGATCCGCCATGCTAAGAACTATAACCTGGATGTTGTGTACGTCGGCCTTGAGATGCTTCGCCTGCTTTGATGAGTTTTCATTCAGATACCTCTCGATGGCAGCAAATGCTTTGCTGCGATGAAATCCATCACCTTGATATTCTGGAAATGTAATCTTGATATAAGGGTAAACTGTAGGAAATAAATGAAAATCAGTTTCAAACCTTCCACCACGTTCATCTTCAGTTTCAAACCTTCCACCACCTTCATCAGTTTCTACCTTCAACCGTTCCTCTGATCTTCAGTTACAGAATTGAATGGAAATTAGTTTCAGATATTAATTACCACTCTCTTCTTATATGGGTATAAATAGAGGTTGGACAAGGTGTGAGATGCATTTTAAAAAACAAGTGAGATACAAACCTACAGCAACGAGTTTCCAGCAACAGATTTCTTTCCAGTCTAAAGTTTTCCTTTTTCCTGAATTCTTTAAGAGATAGAGAAATACGCAGCTAGTTCGTAGGCGGTTCACGTAGTGCAGCG